ATTGGAGAGGGGAGAGATTTGAAGCACAGAGATCTGTAAGGAGATATTGCATGGTCAAAGGAAGAGGTAAGGTCTTAAAGGAGAGTAGTGGCTGGGTGAGTATAAAGAAGGAAAAGAATATTGTTGATAACCTTGGGATATAAAAATAGTGGAATTTGATAATGAGGGTAGCTGGATTTGATTATCTGTAAAGTTTCCTCCAGTTCTAAATCTATGATCTTAGGAAGTCAAGTGATACCTCAGTCTTGTATTAATACGTGCTTAGCTTGCTTTGAAAATAGAGAGGTTTGCCCACAAAAGGAGATGGACCAGTCATGTTAGTTAAGAGTAAGGGATAATCAATGAACAATGCACTTTACTGGTTTCCATACAATGTCAAAAGATCTAGATTATTTGGATGACAGTCTCCAGTATGTCAAGTAAACCTCCTGTGGAAGATTTACGGGAGGCCACGGGCAAGAACCTCACAGGATGAAATGGCATCAGTGGGTTACAACTGGCAACATCGAAGGAAGTGCCATTATCAAGATCACAGACTCATCAAAGCATTAAAGTAGATTTCCACTTTGGTTCCCATATCCTACACACAAATACACACACAAATATGTACAGAGGGGCAACCTTAACATCTATGAGAGGTGAATTTTAGGGATCCTCTCAAATGTGGGAATATTGTAAGATTGTCTTATCAAGAAATTTCCTCATAAAGCATTTACAAGAGAGGTGAATTAATTGTGCACTAAAGCTTCAAGTTTGGGGAGTTTTTTGAAGAAAGCAACAAGCTGCAGTTCAAAACTCTCTTCTTAACACAGAAACACTGAAAAAAGGAGTTGGCCTTGCAACATTACCTTCATGACCTGGTTCTTTTTCCTATAAACATTCTTGACCAGTATTGAGTTTCCTAGACTCACCCAAATGTACTTATATATTCATGTGCACTCCTACATTCAACCATCTACTTCCACTAGTGGGTACTCTTTTTTTCTCTCTTCTCCCCTCTCCTTTTCTCTTCTCTTTTTTCTCTTTCAATAAGTAATCATTTTCCCCTAACACCTAGGGATACATTCAGCTTAATACTTACACAATATTGGTCCTGCCAAGTGTATGTCTAGATGTGGTTTGACTGCCGGATGAATCCCTGTCTTAACTTCCTGGGCTGGGTGATAGAGGTCATGCCTACAGGTTACTCCTCAGTGGGCCATTTTTGTTGGGCTGGATACAAAACCCAGTATGACTCTTTGATCCATGGCCTATTCTCCTGACCTTTGGAAATTCACAAAATCAGAAGCTCCAATCTGTTCACCTAACACAGAAAACAAACACACACATAGGCCAAGGGCTGAGGCCCTTTCACAGGACTATAAGGCCTCAGAATGGAGAAGACTTCAAGGCTGACATGATGAACAAAGGTATCAGTGAGATTCCCCAAAAGCTGGAGAGACTGAAGCAAAGAGGACTCTAGGTATCCTCTTTACTTTGAAGTGCATGAGGCAAAAATACCTGTACCAGGCATTAGTAATGAGTTGTTGGATTAAGAAGATCTGGTGAAATGAAAACTGTTCCAAATCCTTTCCTGCCCGCTTCCTGACTCACTGACAAGACAGTGGAATTGGGGCAAAGACAACTACCCTTTCTGTCATTTTGTTGCTTTCCTGATTGACCAAAAAAAAAAAAATGCTACCCCAGAAGTTCAGGAGAATTTCTATGGAGGTCTTGTTGCACTGAACACTAAGAATAAATAACTGACTCTGACTGGGTAAGAGGGACACAACAAAAAACCTGGAAGAGAGAAAGTAGGGAATGGGTTTGGGTTTTGGTTTTTTTTGGTTGTTTTCTTTTTCTAATTTTTTTTTTTAAGGATCTTTGTTTTCCCTGTTTTCTCACTTGCCCTTTAATCCAGGGATTTTTAAGCTTTTTACATGTGTCACCAGAACTCTTTGGCAGTCTGGCAAAGTTTATGGACCTTTTGACAGAATGATGTTTTAGATTCATAAAATAAAGTATACAGGACTGCAAAGGAAGCCAATTATAATGAGATAGGAAATTTTTTTAAAAAATAATTTCATGGACCTTGGAACTCCTGTATCCCTCTGGGCTTGTCATTCCTTGCCAGAGAGATCTGTATCTATTCCTACAATAGAATTATCCTGATTTCACTTGCATTGATGCTTCAGAGTTTCTCTTCTTGGTTTTATTAGCATGATTATACATTTTCAACAGGTGTTCCTGGTCTGAATATCTCCTGTGGGTGAAATAACCCTGTGTGGAGTTACTGCTTATGTCGAGTGTGGGGGTCTTGCCTGCATGGAAGCAGGTGGAAAAGAATGGATGTTCTGGTTATTATGATCATTATACTGTCATTAAAAACCACAGGCTGAAATCTCCTGTCACTGCAATGGTCCCCTGGTGAGTGTCCTATATCCAGCTGCTCAGGTAGACGTCAGGAGTGTGCCCTGATAGTTCTAATTTCAGTAAAGGCAGCTTTAGGCAGAAGCACAGAGGCAGCTGCATCTAGACCTTCTGCCTATGCATAAAGGAGGGAAGGGAACAAACATTTATTAAACACCTACTATATGCCAGGCACTGTGCTGAGGGTTTAAACAAATATTGAATAAGGGGAAATTATTTAAGATCCTTTCATTATTTCCCATTGTTACCCTAACTAGATCTGGCTGTGTCTTAGATTTGGTATTCATATTCCACACTTCACTTCAGTGGCATACCCAAGTGCTTTCTGAATGCCATGCAGGATCAACCAGTGGTTAGTGCTAGTAGAATTAAGAAATTACAGAGTAATTTCCAAATTTCTCTCTAGAGAGAAACAGGGAAGTTTCCTTTAACCTAGTGATTGGGAATCAGAAAGTGTTGATTTAGACATCTACCTACCCACTCATACTCAAGAACAGTGAACTACTCAGATACATATGTGCCTTTATGCAATGAATGTTGTCATCACTTCCTGCTTCATTTACCCAGTGGTGTACACCATGGAGTTAGGAGCTCTTCACCACATTTTCTGGACCCCCATTTCAGGGTTCATTGTATCATAGACCTCCAGCTAGAAGGGACCTCGGAAGCACTCTGGTCCAGCTCCCTTAGATGAGGAAACTGAGGTGCAGAGAAGTTAAATGATAGGTATTAAGCAGCAAATGTAAAATTTGAACCAGGTCCTCTGATTCCAGGGCCAGTGTTCTTTTCACTGTACTCCCATGTCTCAGCCCTTTTGCTCCTGAGATCTAGGAATTTCTACTTCTACCTGAAAACATGAAACAAGAGCTAGCAAGGAAGCAGGAGTGGAAGGGGCCATCTTGTCCCCCAAGAGATTTTCTACTAGGTTTCAGAAACTAGTTGTTTTATTTATCTCTCCTTCTCAATGGGGAGATGAAGAGAATTTGGAACTGAAAATAAAATAAAATTGAATTTTAAAAAGTGACCCTAGTTTTCACCATTATTTATAATGCTGGCTCATGTCTTTATATAGATGATATTAATCAATTTTTTTCTTATCAAATTTATTCTTATATCTTATCATATATTTCCATCTTATCTATATATTTATATCTTATCAAATTTATTCTTATACTTCTTAGTGTTGCTTTTTGGGACATCTATTGATGTAATTACATGCATTAAAAAACAATTTACAAATGAACCCCACATTTCTGGCACAAATATATCTTGGTCATGGACCATCATTTTAAGACATATGGTATTATAAACTCTTTGCTAATATTTTACTCAATATTTTTGAATCAATATTCATTTGGGAAAAATTTAGGATAGTGTTCTTTTTCTGTTTTGTCTCTCACTGGTTTAGGTACCAAGACCATATATAGTATTGAATGGGTTTGGCAGGATCCCTTCGTTTCCTATTCTTGCAAACAGTTTATGCAATATTGGAATGAATTGTTCTTTTGATAGATGTTTGATAGATTTCATTTTTAAATCCATTTAGTCCTGAGGGCATTTTTTGGGAGGGTTTTTATGTCTCATTCAATTTCTCTTTCTAATACTGGGTTATTTAAATAATCTCTTGTTCCCTTAATATAGGTATTTTACATTTTTGAAATTATCTCTATTTTATCTACATTATCTTTTTTTTTTTTTTTGCTTTTTGGTGAGGCAGTCAGGGATAAGGGACTTGGAACAGGGTCACACAACTAGTAAGTGTTAAGTGTCTGAGGTCACATTTGAACTCAGGTCCTCCTGACTCCAAGGCTGGTGCTCTATCCACTGCGCCATCTAGCTGGCCCTATATTGTCATTTTTGTTGGCATATAATTGAGCATAAAGTTTCTAATAGCTTCCTTCATCAATTGTTGTAAATTTGCCTTCATTTTGATACCAACAATTAGGTTTTTCTTTCTTTTGTCAAGCCAGTTAAATGTTCATTTAATTAGTTTTTTAAAAAGCAATTTCTCTACTTATCAATTCAGTGAGGTTTTTTTTTTTTTGCTTTCAATTTTGTTAATCTCTTACTTGATTTTCAGAATTTCTAGTTTATCGTTTAGTTGGGGGTTTTTGATTTGTTGCTTTTCTTGTTTGTTTCAGCTGCATGCTGATTTGCTGATCTGTTCTCTTTCCCTTGATGAAAGCATTCACAAATATGAATGTTCCCCTAAGGAATGCTTTATCTCCATCCCCAAACTTTTGGTATGTCAATCATTCATTAAGTGCCCACTATACACCAAACGCCGCTGCCTCATTGCTGTCATCACATCCGATGAAATTTTCTGTTTGTTTCTATGATTTGTTCTTTGCCTCACCAAGAACATTACACAAAATGAATACAAGGCGATTTGAGGAGGGAAGGCAGGGGACTCAGGAGAGGCCCCGAGGACAAAGAAGGTGGCCCTAGAACTGAGGCTTTTAGGGAGACCAAGGTCTCCACAAGGCGGGGGTCGGGACGAAGCGTCTGCACCGCAGGCACGAGGTCAAAGCCATAGAGGAATCTCTATTAGACTTAGATGCAGGAGATGTAAGAGAGGCGGCCCGGCCTGGTGGACGAGAGCTGGCCTTTCAAGCAGGAAGACCTCGGTTTTAAGTCCCACCCCTGACGCCTACGGACAGTTTACCGAAGATAAAACACTTAAGGTCTCGTGCCTCACGAAAGTGTTTTAGGAAGCGAAATTGCAGAACCGCGGCTGATATGCCTCGGCTCCCCCAGCCCAAGAAAGCCCAGACCCTTACCCTGGCCTTAGAAGAAAAAAAAAAAGGTCTCTTGGCCAGCCCTACGTTTTGTGCTGGTGATCTGAGCTGTTCTGCCACAGGGTCATTGATTTGGACTTGGAACTCAAACCCTGTATGTTACAGAAGAAGAAACAGGGTGACATGGTCATACAGCTGGTAAGTAATGACTGGAGTTAAGATCTGAACCCAGGTCAGGGCTTTTTCTACGGTAACATCCTGATCGGGTCGGAGCGCGCAGGGCAGGACGCGGGGGAGCGGCGTGCGGGCGGCGATCCCGGGCCGGGCCTGCGGCGGCTCGCTGAGCCGAGCGGGAAGGAGGCGCCGCGCGCTTTGACCCCGTCCGCGCTCCGTACCGCCCGCTGAGCCGGCGGCGGGAACATGGCCGCCGCCACCGCGACCCTTCTAGTAGCGGGGAAAGTTTTCCAACAGTCGGGCTTGTGTTAGCTCCTCGCCCGCTCCGGGCCCGGCAGCCCCCCCTCCCCTCGCGGCGCAGGCCCCACTCGGGGCCCACCTCCTTACGTCCCCCGAACGCCAAGACGTCCAGGCCCCGGCGAGTGGAGGAGGCCGGTCCAGCACAGCCAGGTAGGAAGAGGCGGCAGCGAGGGGGGTCGCTGGCGGCCCCGGCTGCTCTGCGGGACGCGCCTCAGGACGGGGCGGCGGCGGCTCCCTCGGGTCCTCCGGGGACTCTCCCTCCCCACCCCCCTCGGGCCGCGGCCCACAGCACCGGCCGCCGGGCCCCCGACGTGCCGAGGCCGCGAGGCGCTGGGGAAGAGCCCTGGGACGGGGAGCCTGAGCTGGGCTCCAACCTGGCGGCTCTGTCGCTTAGCCTCAGTTTCTGCGTCTGGGAAATGGAGTTAACATTGCTACCACTTGCTGAAAAAAGTGCTGTTGCAAGTTTGAAATGTGGGACCTGCTGGCCCCCGGAGAAGGGAGAGAACTCCTTTGGGTTTTTCCCGTCAATGCAGGAACGACCGGCCTTGCAGCCTCTCGTTTCATTTGAGAGGGTGGTCAGCCCCCCCCCCGAAAAAAAAACTCCGATATTCCGCCATGTTGGTGTCAGTACACAAACTGCAAGTTTTGTTTCACTTCCCCTCTGCTCTTTGTCCCACCCAAAAGCTTAAAATTGCTCTAGGACTTTGGAAGACCTTGTGCCTAAGGACGAGGAAGATGCAAGGGTTTTCTGGATGGGGAACTTTTACGAAAGAGTTGCCGTAGGTTTGGGGCCAAATTGGAACGCCTCTCAGGTACTGAGGAAGCTTCCCCACCGCTGAAGAGGAATAAATACTGATTTTCTCTCTCATTGCACCCTAGTCTTGTATTCTACTTATCTGTATTCCTATCTTTGGGCAGAGGTTCTCAAACTTTTTGGTCTCAGGACCCACGACTGAAATTATTGAGGTACCCAAAGAGTTTTTGTTTAAGTAGGTTATGTTTATGTTTACTATATTAGAAGTTAAAACTGATAAATTTTAAAAAATGCCTATTTGTTAAAACATTTCCCAAAATTACCATAACAGAACCTTTACATGTTAACACAAATAGCCTATTTTTTTTTTTAAAATAACTATGTTTTCCAAAACAAACAAAAAGTAAGAGTGGCATTATTTACTTGAATGTTTCTTGAGTGTAGAAGACAGCTGGATTCTCATAGCTGCTTCTTCATTCAGTCTGTTGCAGTATGTTGCTTTGGTTGCAATATATGGAAAAAAAATCCAGCCTCACACAGTTATGTAGTAGGAAAAGGGAAAAAGAGTATTTTAACAGGCAAATTACATCTCAGTGTTAGTAGGACAGTAACTTTGACCTTTTGGACCCCTGAAAGGTTCTCATGAGCATGAATCACACTTTGAGAACCAGTGTCTTAGGGCAATGACTTTTTTTTTTTTTGGTCTTTGTATCCCAGGGCCTCCAGGTTTTAGGGACCTCCAGGTGATGGATGATATGGTTGAGTATGGGTTGTTGCTGGCAGCTGAAATTGGAAGTTGTGAGGGAGAAGATTTTGGTCCCTTTGGCCCCTCGAAAACTATACCTATAGTGGGACAGTCTTTCGGGGCCTTTCTTTCATTCTTAGTTCCCAGTGAAGGCCCAGGACATTGTCTGGAGGTTGTTTCTTTTCCTTTTCTCCTCCCATCCTCTCTCAGCTCCTCATCCTCAAATGAACTTATCCCAGGACTGAGCTTTCTAGTTAGAGCTCTGGCACCTAGTCAAACACACCACACATAATCACAGAGTTTGAGAATTTGAGAATTGTGAACGACCTCAGCAGTCTTGTAGCTCAACATATAGACAGAAGCAGTCTCCACTATAACATGCCTACCAAGTGGTTGTCTGGCCTCTGCTTAGACTTCCAACCAGGAGGAACTCACCACCTCTTGAGGCAGGCCATTCTATTTTTGGACAGCTCTGATCTTTAGGAATTTCTGACACCAGCCTAAATTTTCCTCTCTGCAATTTCTTTTCTTTCTTTCCTTTATTTTCTGTTCTCTTTTTTCTTTCAAGCAGAGGTTTTATTCAGCAGTCAGAGTGACTGGACATTCATCACTATAGACTTATGAAGAAAGATACAAAATTTACCACCACCTAGTAATGTAAAAACAAAAAAGTCAGAACTGAGAAACATTGTGCAGTATTCATCATGGCCATTTAATTATGTTTGTAATACCTTCCCCACATCCTCTACCTCTTTCTTTCATTCTCTAATTACTTAAGCCTTAGGAAACTTGGCTTCCTCCTGGAGACACTTCATCCATAGCTACCTTTTTTCAGTACTGGCAGCTCCATCCTTCATGACCCCTGAAAACTTGGATCCATAGGAGGAAGGAGTAGGCAAACTCTTTGCACTTCACTGACACTTTCATCCTGTCTCTTTGCAATCATTACTCAGCAACCTTTCCTCTTTTGAGCATCATACATCTATTTGTATAACCTAGTTGGGATCCTTACCTATCTGCAGGCTTCTAGGCACGTAATAGAGTTTAGTATATTATTCACCATCTTCTTTTTTAACCAACTTTTATTTTACTTTACTTTTTTCAGTTAATATGCACTTAGTTTCTTCCTCCCACATGACCCCCAATAAAAGCAAAGGAAGTAAGAAATAGAGATAGCAAAGCAAAACCAATTCCCTCATTTACCCATATCCAAAAACATGTATTTCATTCTGCATCTTAAACCTATCACCTGTCTGTTAGGAGGCAGACCTCTTACGGGGGAAGTAGGTTGCATGTTTCATCTCTCTTTACAGTTTCCACCATTATTCCTTGTTTTACCCTCTGGGGCCAAACAGAACAAATCTAATCCCTTCACTGTATGACAACTTTTCAGATACTTGCAGATAACTATCATGTACCCCCTGATAATTTTACAGGCTAAACATGCCCAGTTCCTCAAACAGTTTCATATGACATTTGCTCAAGGCCCTTACCCATCCGGGTTGCCCCCTTCTAGGCACTTTCCAGGTTATTATTGTCTTTCTTAAACTGTGGTGCTCAGACCTGAACACAAGACTGCAGATGAAGTTTGACAAGGGCAGAGTATGAAGTACAGTGGAACTCTCCTCTCCCACTTTCTGGAAGTCATGCCTAGACTGTTAATGCAGCCCAAGGCGCCATTAGCTTTTTTGGGTGTTATATCACAGTGCTGATTCATTGAGCTTTCAGTTCATTAAAACCCCTAGATCTTTTTCAGAATGGCTTTCTAACTATTTATCTTCCCTCTTATACTTCTGTAGATGAACTTCTTTACGTTGATCACTATTGAATATCGTCTTATTCGATTCATCCTGTGCTTTAACCTCTTAGGGGCCTTTTGGATCCTCTTTCTTTCATCCAGTATGTTAGCTATCCCTCCCAGTTTGCAATCATCTGCAAATTTGATGAGCTTACCATCTATGCTTTTATTCAGGTCATTGACAAAAATGTTAAATGGCAAGTGTTTATATGAATGAATGAGTAAACACAGATGAATTTTTTTCTTTGTTTAGTAAATCTGTCATGACTTTAAGGTGAGTATTCTCTTGAGTGGTAGAAATTGTGACCCATAAATACTTTCTTGTTCTGTGTTCTTGTCCATGTCTTCTCATTAATTTTCCATCAGTGTGAGGGAATAGAATCTACCTGATATTCAGGGGACTTCTCTTTGTGTCTTATATTATTAAATGGGTACCAGTACAGCACACAGGTTGTCTTATTTGTTTTTTATTATAGACTCATTTCACATTCCAGGCACTATGGTAGGCACTGGGAATACAAAGACAAAAACTAAACAGTCTGTGCTGTTAAGGAACTTATATTGGAAGGAGAACAAACCAAAACCAAACCCAAAGATGTGGTGGAATTAATAAACAGGTGAATACTTGTATGGAGAACAAGAAGTGGGCTGTTTTGACTAGAATGTAGGGTATGTGAAGGAGGGTCCCATGCAGTAAGTTTGGAAAGATAGGCCAGAACCAGATTGTAAAAGCCTTTAAATGACAAGCAAGAAAGTTTGTATTTTATCCCAGAGGCAATTGGGTGCCAGTGGCGATTCTTGGCGAAAGAGAGTGACATAGTGAGACCTATGCTTTAAGAATATCTGTTTGGCAGCTTTATGGATGTATTAGAGAAGGGGATTGTGTAATACAGTTCCCTCATTTTCAGATGAAGAAAGTGGTATGCATTGAATGACTTGCCCAAGTGGCTGAACCAGGATCTGAACTCAAAACCTCTGGTTCCAAATCTAGTAGTCTTTCCAGTACACTATACTGTGTGCAAAAGGGCATTGGTAATATATTATAGTCTAAGCTTAATATAAATTTCTCCATTGCCCTTTGGTTAGCCTGCAATTTTTATTCTTTGGAAATTATGATACTCTGTGATTTCAAGCCACATAGCATTATTGAAAGAATGCTGCTGTCCAAAAAATGAATTTTGATTCAGGGGAAGCCTGGAGTCATTGAAGGTTCTATACAGTTTCCCAAATTGAATCCAGTCCATTACTGACCTCCTATTCTATTTCAAGTTCAATTCACTGTCCATCTGCCGTGTCTGTGAAAGACATGTACTGATGGACCAGCTAAGTTCATCCAATTGTATATAATAAGCACTCTTCATCTACTTGTTTTTTCCTTCATGGATTATTAGGCCAAACTTTTAAGTGGTTGTAAATGTCATGTTGAGGACCCTATAATGTTCTAAGGTTTGAGATAAATCAGCAGTGTCATCTTTAAAACAAGAGTATCTGATGGGCAGCTAGGTGGCGCAGTGGATGGCGCACCAGCCCTGGAGTCAGGAGGACATGCATTGAAATCTGGCCTCAGACACTTGACATTTGTTAGCTGTGTGACCCTGGACAAATCATTTAACCCAATTGCCTAGCCAAAAAAAACAAAACAAAACAAAAACCAAGAGTGTCTGGAGAACTTCGCCATATATATGCACGTGTAATGTGTGTGCATTTGTGCATTTTTGGTCTGGACCTGTGATTTTGTTGATGTAGGGAACTTCTAGAGAAGAAGCCCTCTACCAATGAAAACTGAAGCATGCTCTACAACATATAATCTTAGTGACTTGACCGGGTCCACTCAGTGTTAAGTGATTTGCCCAGGGTCACACAGCCAAATATGATTAAGAGGCCAGATGTGAACACAAGTCTTACTGACTCCAAGGACAGCTCTGTCCACTGTACTATAGTACTTCTCATATTTGTTGCTATAAATCAAAGAAAATTAGAGCTATTTCATTGTGTTTTCATTTCTTATCTGTCAAGAAAAAGAATGAATCATTAATATATAATTAGGGGATTATTTCAAGTAGTATGGTTAGAAAACTAAAAGAGCTCAACTAATTTTATTAATGAAACAAATAAAATGGCAACTTTTAGATAAATATTTAGCTCTTAAAATCTTAATTTAACATACGAAAGCAAAGTAACTAGAGGATGATTATTTGAGAGACATTTGCAATTCCTTCTTGGACAAGTTTGTCATTTCCATGAATGTTTTATAGCTGGCATCCAAAGATGACAGATGAGACCAATCCAGGCTTAACAGATTATGTCACATGGTGGGCACATTTCTCTCGGCCAAATGGCTAACTTTAGATTGCTAATTACATGATGACCTGCTGTTTCTTTTTTTGTGTCCATCTTATTAGAGAATTTCAGATATGCTGATCATAAACTAGGTTCTTGAAGGATTTCCCCCCTTAAACTTTTAACTGATGGGGTCTCTGTAGGTTTATTGTCACCATAAGCCAAAGAACTATCCTGTTAATCATCAGTCTGTTCCTGTGAAACAATCTTATAGTTTTTTTAATTGCTAACAGATGTTTAAATTATTTTTCAATCACCCATCCTAAGTTCACAGCTAACCAATTTGAATTATAGCTTATAAGACATTTCAGGTTATAACGTTTAGTTTTGTATTAGAAAAATTAATGATGATGATGCTGAAAATTCTTATTATTGGAAATAGAATATAAAGGCTTTTATAGCAGAAATGATTTAGGCAGCCTGGAGCCATTGCCACAGAGTTGTTCATTTAAAATTGGATACTGGTTTTAGTGATTGAAGAAGATTGTTGTGGTAAAGTCAGAATTGTAAAGATAGTTATGGAAAAAATTTATGGAATGAGTAGGTTTAATATATTAAAACTTCATTTTTTGTGTTTTTGTTCATTTAAAATCTCATTTTAAGAGTCTACAATTGCACGGCATTTGAGAGACCTCATGAAAACAATGTAGGGCGATTTTAAGTAAGAAGAGCTGCTATTAATATAAAATGTTTCAATTAAAAAAACTTTCAATCATTTGTGAAATTAGAAGTAATAATTGATGTCCGTCTTTCCTTAAAAACTTTGTTCTGTTTCATAGCTGTAAATGGTACCTTAACCTAGGGAAACTGACTTGCAGGTATATACTGTTGATTCTAGGGAGTACCAGATATTAGAAGTATGAGTGGATAGGTGAGGGCAATTCATTACCACTACAGGTAAAAAAAATTTACAGCTTATGCTAATGATAAGTGTCAGTAACTTAATAATGTACATACAGGTAGAACTTTTTATTTAAATAAAATTGGCAAAGGTGGCAAAGTGAAGTCAGAAAGAGCCTAGTTGAAATCCAGCATTAGACACTTAATAGGTGTGTTATCCTTGGCAAGTCATTTAACTTCTGTCTTACTCATTTTTCTCATCTGTAAAATAGGGATAATAGCAACCTACCTCTTTGAGTTGTAAGTTTAAAAGAGAATAATATTTATAAAGGGCTTTTCAAACCTTAGAGCCATGTGCAAATAGCTACCACAGTAACAGTAGCTAACCTTCACATAGCACTTTAATAACTAATCTCTTTTTATTGATTACTGCCATATACCTCAGTACCTCAAGGCAGTAATTTGAAATTGGTAGGTGCTTGATGGAGTGTTGGACTTGGAGTCAGGAAGACTTATGTTCAGAACTTGCCTTAGACACTTCCAAATTGTGTGACCCTGGATGTAGGACTTAACTGCTGTTAGTACAGTTTCCTTATATGTAAAATGAGGATAACAGTAGCACCTACCTCATCACAGGGTTGTTGTGAGGACCAAATAGGAAAACGTATGCAAAGTGTTTTACAAACCTTAAAATTCTACATAAATGCTCACCATTATCATCAAGGATTGTGTTGTTCTGGATGCTCCCTCCATACCAATTTCAAATCCTTCTAATCCTTGATACGTGATCTTTGGGAGTCGCTGTGGTCAAAGAATTCATAATATTGCAGCCAACCTGCTGATGAGCTAGTCTAGTTCTCAGATGGCCTTTGAATGGACCTTACATGAATGAAGCCTTTCCCACTGTTCTCTAGAATCCCTGGTTTCTTTTAAAACTCAGCTTAAGTGGAACCTTCTACAAGGCCTTTCCTAGTTCTCCCAGCTACTAGTGCCTCCCCCTCCCCCATTGCCCCTTATTTATTTAATTATATACCTATTGTTTCTTCTGTTACAGCATAAACTCCTTCAGGGGAAGTATTATTACATTTTTGTATTTGTATCCTTAGAACCCAGCACAGTTCATGGCACATAGTAAATGCTGAATAAATGGTTGTTGATTTGGCACATAGTAAATGCTGAATAAATGGTTGTTAATTTGGCACATAGTAAATGCTGAATAAATCATTGTTGATTTATTGACCTTGCAGAATTTGTACTTTACTGTTACAGTCTTCAGGAGCTCAGGGTCATCTCCACACCCTGATAAGATATCAAGGTAGTACTTTGCTGGAGGAGAATACTAACATAAATTTAATAATATGTGTATGATATATGTATCTGCATATGATAGATATGCACAGATGCTAAAATCATGTTACAGGAGAAACAGCAATTCATTTTTACTTATGTTACATTATTTTGTACAATGTAAGAACTGCCTTGAAAATAAATTTAAAATTAATACAAATCTTTTTTTTTCTTTTAGGTCTCCAAAAAATAAGATTTCATCTGAGGAAATGGTGAAGTAGGAGCTTGCAGATGCCCTGGATTTCTTGGATGCAGTGCAAACAATTTTTATAGTGTGGAAAAAGAGCCTTAATTGCCAGTTTACATGTGTAGATCACTGCGTTACTGTATTAGTCATTGTCTCTATATGGCAATGACAAGACTGGAAGAAGTAAATAGAGAAGTGAACATGCATTCTTCAGTACGATATCTTGGCTACTTAGCCAGAATCAATTTATTAGTAGCAATATGCCTAGGTCTTTATGTAAGATGGGAAAAGACAGCAGATTCCCTAATTCTGGTCATCTTTATACTTGGCCTTTTTGTTCTTGGGATTGCCAGCATTCTCTATTATTATTTTTCAATGGAAGCAGCAAGTTTAAGCCTCTCCAACCTTTGGTTTGGATTCTTGCTTGGTCTCCTCTGTTTCTTAGATAATACACCTTTTAAAAAAGATGTAAAAGAAGAAGTGACTAAGTATTTACTTCTGACTTCCATAGTATTAAGGATATTATGTGCTTTGGTGGAGAGAATTTGTGGTTGTGTCCGTCACCGACCCACTTTACTGACCACAGTTGAATTCCTTGAGCTGGTTGGATTTGCCATTGCTAGTACCACTATGCTGGTGGAAAAATCTATGAGTGTCATCTTGCTTGTTGTAGGTTTGGCGATGCTGATTATTGATCTAAGAATGAAGTCATTCTTAGCAATTCCAAATTTGGTGATTTTTGGCGGCTTACTGTTTTTTTCTTCCTTGGAAACGCCTCAGAATCCAATTGCCTTTGCATGTTTTTTTATCTGTCTAATTACTGATCCCTTCCTTGACATCTATTTTAGTGGACTTTCAGTTACTGAAAGGTGGAAACCCTACTTGTATCGTGGAAGAATTTGTAGAAGATTTTCTGTCATTTCCATTGGCTTTATTGAGCTTATTTTTTTTATTCTTTCAGCGTTTAAGCTTGGGAACTCTTATCTCTGGTACTTTGTAATACCAGGGTTTTCGATTTTTGGAATTTTCTGGATTGTTTGCCATATTATTTTTCTTATAACTCTTTGGGGGTTCCATACCAAATTAAATGACTGTCATAAAGTCTATTATACTCACAGGGCAGATAATAATAGCCTTGATAGAGTAATGGCATCTAAAGGAATGCGGCATTTTTGCTTAATTTCAGAGCAACTAGTTTTCTTTAGTCTTCTTGCAACAGCAATTTTGGGTGCAGTATCCTGGCAGGTAAGTGAATATTTATCTATTTCCTCTTGTATAATTATGTTATTTTAACATGATATTTGATAAAATGATAGTTTCAGCAGTTTAATTTCAATAAAATAAGTATTAATCACCCACAAAAATTTGAAATTATAGAATTCCTGCCCTCAGTCTAGTAGGAAGCTATGATACATAAGCAAGTATAATAAATGATAACTTCATAAAAGAGGTATAAACTTAGTGATAGTCACTGAAGCAATCAGAGAATGTTTCCTGTAGAAGGTGATTTTTGAGTTCGGTAGGAATTCAGTAGTCAGAAAGGAGAGAGGAGCATATTGCACGGGTACATAGAGGGGAAAGTAGGGTTAAAGTATTCAGTTTGATTGGAATATATACTACATGGAAGGAAGTAGTATAAAATAAAGTTGAAAAGACAAGTTGGCACAACATTGCACTGGCCTTGAACAACAGCCTAAGGATTTTGAACTTTATTCAGTAGACACTAGGAAACCACTGAAGGGTTTTGATATAGTCTTCGGATACAATAAAGACTATTAGATTGTAGTGGGTAGAGTAGGAGTCAGGAAAGTTGCAGTCAGGCAATCTGGTCTTGAATCCTACCTCTAGCACTTTCCAAATATGTACCATCAGTAAGTCACTTACCCTAAGGCTTAGTTTCATTTGTAAAATGGGGTAGTGTATATATCTGCTTCATAGAATTGTGATACTCAAGTGAAGTCGTGTCAGTAAAAGCACTCTATGTATGCTAACATGCTATATAAATAGTAATTATTGTTATGATTAGTACTTTAATAATGTGAAGGATAGATTAAAGGAGAGTAGATTATGAAAGTAGTTACAAGGCTATTATAATAATCCAAGCAGGTAGTAATAACATACTAAGTTGATTGAGAATTGTAGAGTGAAAGTTTTCTGTGACCTAACTTTGGTCTTAGAATTGGAGGAGCAAATCTTGACAATGTTATTCAGCTTGTTTCTCAGCAAACAACAACCCATGTTATTCAAACTATATAAATGCCTTCTATTTGATTTTATTCCCCACATTCTTTAAAAGTTTGAGTGGGGGAAATACTATGATTCTTTCTTCTCTGGCCTACCACTTACCTTAATGTAATGTGACAGCAAATGTAATTTAGCTTGACCTATTGCCTCAGAAGGCCTGCTGGACTTTTCCCTGTAGTGGGACATTTCATTTCAATTCAGTACACATTAGGTACATGCTATGTGCTGCATTAGTTAGTCAGCAAGCACTTATTGAGTACTTACTGTCTGCCAGGCACTATACCATGGGCGAAAACACATTCTAATGGGAAAAGAAGGTAACATAAATTTCTACTCTATGCTGCTATACGTAGTGGTGTGTCAGAAACATTTGCTGTGGTGAAATATCAAGCCAGAATATAAGATCAGTTTGGTGATATATCATAGATACTCTTAAAGGAATTATTCTTTGTGTAGATGTTTGTTTCTCAATATGACTCATGATAAACTTCCAAATGGTCAGTCTGATGTTGCCCAGGAGGCCCTGGGATAACGCACTCCCATCATTAACAGAAAAAAATTCAAATTCATTTTTGGATGCAAGAGAAAATACCTTCCTTTAGTTTAGTTGGTTTACATACTTTCTGTCATGAAGTCTTTTCTGTATTAAGTGAGAAAAAGAAACAATTTAATTGAATAATTGAACAAACATTAAGTATCTGTTATGTTCTAGATTTTGTAGATAAAATGATGAAGAATAACAGACCAGTTCTGAGTCCTTTAGACTCCAGTAGAAGGTATAACTACAGGCATGCCTCAGAGATATTGTGGATTTGGTTCTATGCCACTGCAGTAAAGTGAATATGCAATAAAGCAAGTCACATGAATTTTTTGGTTTCCTGGTGCATATACAAGTTGTTTTTATACTGTACTATAGTCTATTAAGTGTGCAATAGTATTATGTCTAAAAAAACAGTATACATAACCTTAATTAAAAATACATTATTGCTAAAAAAAATGTTAACCATCATCTGAACCTTCAGCAAATCATAATCTTTTTTCTGGGAGAGGGTTTTTGTTGATGGTTGCTGACTGATCAGGGTACTAGTTGCTGAAGGTTGAGGTGGCTGGCAATTTCTTAAAATTAGACAGCAATGAAGTTTGCTGCATCAATTGACTCTTCCTTTCTCTTGAACACTTAGAGGCCATTGTAGGGTTATTAATTGGCCTAATTTTGATATTGTTGTGTCTCAGTAAATAAGGAAGCTGGAGGAGATGGAGAGAGATGGGGAATGAATGACCAGTCACAGGAGCAGTCAGAATACATACGTTTATTAAGTTCACCGTCTTATAAGAGCACGGTTTATGGCACTCCAAACAATTACAGTAGTAACATCAAAGATCACTGATCTCAGTAGATCACCATAATAAATAGAATAATGATAAAAATTTTTGAAATAATGTGAGAATTACCAAAATGTGACACAGAGGCATGATGTGAGCACATGCTGTTGGAAAAATGACACCAGTAGACTTGCTCAGTGCAGGGTTGCCACAAACCGTCAATTTATAAAAAATGGCAATATATGTAAAGCACAGTAAAGTGAAATGCAGTAAAAGGAGGTGTGCCTATATAATGTAAGTTAGAATGTGTTGTTTGCATAGGAGAAGCCTAAGAGCTTTGGGCTGGAAAGAGTAGCTCCTAGTAGGGAAAGGAGGGGGAACTGGTTCCAAATCTAGGGGAGACCATGTTTGCAATGTACAGAAGCAGGAGAGGACAAGATTATAAAGTAGTAAGTAAATAGTTCAGTTTGGCTGACTACATACAATCTGTAAAGAGGAGTTGAGGCCAAATTATGTAAGACTGAATGCCAGGATAAAGAGTTTGCATTTTGTTCTATAGCCAATGGGGAGGCCTCGGAAACTTTTTATACATGAGAGCCAAATAATCAGGCCTATGCATTAAGAAAATTATTTTTGGCAGCAGTGTGCAGGATTTATTGAAGAGAGGAAAGACTGGAAGTACAGAAAACAATGAGAAGGCTATTTTAAGAATGTTGGTTGGAGAGGTCATGAAGGCCTAAGCTAGGGTGGTAAGTGTGAAAGAGGGAATGGGCTAGTAAGTAGAATAAAAGGACATGACAACTGTTTTAAGAAAGGTGACAGGTTATTCAGCTAGGTAACTGAAAGAGTTATAGTATGTTAGCTCAGAGAAATTAGGAAGAGGGTGAGGTTACAGGGAAGAAAACAAGTTTAGTTTTGGATATGAGTTTGAGATGTCAGCAGGACATTCACATGTTCAGCTAACAGTTGGAAACTAGGGGCTCAGAGATAAGGAGGAAAGGAGATGTGGAAATAAATTTCAAATTCATTCACATAGAGGAGATTATTGAAGCCAAAATGGTAATTGAGTTTGAGAAGAGAGTATATAGAAAAGATGCCCATGGAGAGAGCTTTGGGGGATGCCCACACATACTTTGTGGGATGAAGGAGAAAAAGGAACCAGAGAAGAAAACTAGGGAGCAGTTAGATAGGAGAACCAGGAAGGAGGGTATTAATGATACCAAGGGAGGAGAGTATAAAGAATTTCCAGGGCAGAGGGTATGGTAGTAACATTGTCAACTATAGCCAGATATGTTTCATTAGTTAAACCTGGAAAAAATTAGTGACTTGTAAAGATCTGTGAGAGTTGTTCCTTCTTCCCCTAAGGAACCCCAGTTCTGGGCTTGTACTGACTAGATTTAGTTCTGGGAAAGTCTGACCTCTAAAAGAGGGCATCAGGCTATTCTTAAACTTTTGGGCTTCTTAGATTTACATTCCACAGTAGGAACCTAGAGAAATTCTCTAAAGCATAGCTTATTTCCATGGCTTCCCCAAAAGGGATTTATAAAATCCCTTCTAGAAAAGTACTCAATATAAAAAATAGATCATATATAAGACAACTTTCTATCTCCTCCACCACAAAGAAATGTTTACAACACAAAAGACTCTCGAGCACACATTGACAGGTACTTACAACATGAAACAGTAATCAATTTCCTAGAGAGGTTGATATTTAAAACATGAAAAACTTTATGGGACTGCTGAATATATATTTCACTTTAAATTCACATTTTAAACTCAGTGTAATCAAAACTAAACTTGTCACCTTTTTCTTCCCCTCCCCTCGCCCTTCCTAATTTTCCTGTTATTGTTCAGGGTATCACCATCTTCCAGGTCACTCATGCTTACAAACCTAGGTCTGTTTGTCTGTCTCTAGTCTTAAAAACATCTGTTGTTTCTGCCCCCTTCTCTCCTTTGACACTGTCACCACCCTGGTATAGGCTCTCATCACTTCATGCCTGGATTATTGCAGTAACCTGCCGGTTGCTCTCCCCCATCTCAAGTCTCTCCTCACTCCAGTCCATCTTCTACTCAGCTACCAGATTGATCTTCCTAAAGCATAGGTGTAATCATGTTACAAACACTAGCCCCTTTCAGTAAACTCCAGTGGCTTCCTTTTGCCTCCAGGATCAAATGTGAAATCCTCTGTTTGGCTTTTAAAGTCTTTCATTACTTGGCCCCTTCCTACTTTACCAGTCTTCTCATATCTTACTCCTCTCTTCATACTCTATGCTATCCAGTGACTCTGGTATCCTTGCTATTCCTCACACAAGATACTCCGTCTCTTTTTTTTGTTTTGTTTTGTTTTTTGTTTTTTGGTTAGGCAGTGGGGTTAAGTGACTTGCCCAGAGTCACACAGCTAGTGTTATGTGTCTGAGGCCGATTTTGAACTCGGGTCCTCCTGAATCCAGGGCCAGTGCTCTATCCACTGCGCCACCTCACTGCCCCAGGATACTCCATCTCTTGACTCTATGTATTTTCATTGACTATCCTTCACTCGTGGAATTATGTCTTCCTCCTGGCTTCCTTCAGGTCTCAGCTAACATCTGACTTTCTACAAGAAGCTTTTTCCAGTCCTTCTTAATTTTAGTGCTTTCCTTCTGAGACTACCCACAATTTGTGTGTGTTGTTTGTACATA